CTTGCAATATTACAGAACACGATAGGCCATTTAGGGGAGTAAACTTGCCCTGCAAGCATTCTGTGTGATAGGAACTGGGTGAAAGCTCAAACTGTACAATAGTGGACATTTGACGACGAGACACGTCTGTAGCCACCCCCCTCCCCGCTGCATCTGCTCCATAAAGAATGTTACCCACTGCAGCGGATTGTCATGGATTTATTGTCTGTGCACCATTAAACTTAATTACACTTGCTCTTCCATAGTATCTACAACTCGATGCAATCATAATTATCTAACCTATTTTTCTTTTACACTTTTGATTAATACGCTGACAGACCACAAACTTCAAAACACGTCTGAACTTGAAACGAGACTCGTCATAGGCTTTCATTCGCAACACTGAACTCCTTACTTCGCATGAGGAAATTCTTTTTCATCAAATATGCAGAAGGTTGCTTTTTTGCAAGGATACTGTTTTCGTTGTTTTAAAGGAGTATTTTGTTTTGATTGGAACTAGATAGGGAGGGATCCCCTTCTGTGGGCACGGTCATTGGTCACATCTGACCTTACGTTGTCATCAACTGGAGAAGGGGGGGGCATTTCCCGGGGGAACCAACTCCTATCACTCAACACCTTTCCTTGTGGATGCTTGGCAAGTCCTAGCGCATGCATCCATGACTGGCGTCGCACGCAATCTTTTGCAATCGCAATTATTACTTGCATTAAAAAAAAAGAAATTCCGGGACGGGATCATTTTCTTAAATCAGTCGAGCAAAAACGTTGGGAAAATAAGGATGCAATCTTTGAAAAACTTCACTTCAGTTGAAATTGAAATATTAATTTTTATTTTTTCATACAGATAAAACTGTAAACCTATCTCACCTATCAGAGAGAAACCTGGAATTTACATTACTGAAATTCGATCGGTCGCTAAACCACAAAAAAATTTTCTATGAAATGGATAGTTGTTTGTTTATCGTGTCTTTGTTTCATTTCTGAACATGAACGTGTTAACAGTGTGGCTTAAAGTATAACACCAGTAGAGGTGAGTTCGCTCTCATTCAAGACTTGGTTTATTTGTGTTACTGTCTAGCAGAATAAGGCTATTCGGCTGGATAGAGATTCAGAATTTTGGTTAGATTACTTTGACTTTTTAATCTTTTAGTACTTTGAACATCGTGTCCATGGCATATTATTCAGATGGAAAAATCACAAACAGTCTGCCGGTAGGCATATTGGAGCTCTCAGTAATACCATTCTCTCGCGGTTTCCCGCCCCTCGATACCCTCTCTATACAAAAAAAATCAGGATTTGCTAATTTTGGCGCTTCCGTATCAGCAAGTTCCAATTCTTACCGCCGCTCCCTGGGAACGAGATCGAGCCGAAGTCCGTGAAAGATGAATTGCCTCTGCAATATTCATGGCACTAATTAAATAGGCACACATCCATTACGAATTGATGGGGGCCGATGGATGAAGATGTTGGAGATGTGGCCGGTCAGCCGTCACAATGTGCCCTTCCGAGGGAATTCCGTCAAAAGAAAAATACCCCAAAAAGAAAATTAAGGTTTCAAAGATAGGAGCTTCACTCGACCTTTGACCTGTAGATTTCCTTTGTTTTCCCATGCAAGGCCTAACGGAAACTCAAGTGAAATGTTTGGCGGTATTTGAAGACTAAATCATTGAAGGAGGCAATGAAGATGTGCTGTTTCTCCAAATGTCAAGTTGAGATCGGCGAAAACAGAACAGTAGCTATGGTGAACGGTTAGTCTTTTTGCCTTTAAAGGGCTAAAGGTTGCTGCCTATATGTTCCTTGCTTTTTTTAAACTATCACATCACATTTTTAAACACAATCACTGAACGATGATATAAACCGGATGTGCTGGTATTTTGTTGGATGTGAAAGATCTGCAGGCAGGATCCAGAGAGGTGAAACCGAGAGTAAACCAGCTCTACATATCATTATATACTACACGTATTTTCCAATTTTAGGAGGTTAGTCATGAAACAGCCGCAGACAACCTGCACTGTGGAAAGGTGCGAAATTTTGCGAGGTTTTTTGCGCCAAAGTGCGCGATAAAGTCCCGTGGGTTCCGTTCCCGGTGAATCACACGGAACACAAGAAGACGCGGGAACGTGCCCAGAAATGAACTGCCGACGTATAAGAGGCAGTGATGCCGGAGAAATTATCGCCACTCGTGGGATCAACTCCAAAATCGACTGATTGACAGAGCTATTAATTTTTTACGACACCTATTAAATGCCGTACACGTTATCGCCCCGCAATAATCCAGAGTCATTTTTTTTCTCTCAGTCAATCTCGCTTCTTGGCGCGCTATTCATCCGCTTGTGACTGTCGACGGTAGCTCGGGTAAAGCTGGACCCGAGGCCTGCTCTGCACGTGCTGTCCGATATATTCTATCCTTGGCCGTTAGTCTACCCCCTTGAATGAATTTCTGCTGGTCGAATTTTTCCGTGTGATATTTGTGTGACGTTAACGTGCAGTTCAGTAACCTGACCAGAGATGCCACGCGCTGGCAGGTTTTGCAACTGTCCATTATATTTAAGTCCTAAGTTGCCTCTTGACTAAGTCTATAGCTTTAGTTTTTATTGACACCGCTCGCTCAAAAATCGGCCATCGGTCCATTTTATCTTGCCAGATTTCATGTCACTTGAATGGATCATTCAAGGGGATGATTATTGACCTGCATGGCCTTTTGTAGTGATTGTAAGGATTGGCCCGTCTGTAAACTGAACAAAATCGGTGAAAAAGTCAAAAATGCCGAAACCGATCTATCTCCTTCCGCAGAAAAACGCCTTTGTTCCCACCTCGATCTTTAATTAGCTCGTATCCCACATACCCAATTTCAAATTACGGTCATCTCACAGTGTTTATAAAAGACAGCCTAGACCATCCATGCCCAGGAGTGGTGGAATTATAGATATTTTTTTTCGGGGGTAGTTTTGGAACAAAAGCCCGGTCATCTAGCTTAAGCGCGCCTGTCGACAAGCGATCTGCCCGGAAATCCGCGCCAAACCGCTGCTGAACGGCTTGGGCGAAAGTGAGAAAAGAAGAAAGAAGGAAACAAAAGAAATAAAAATTAAAAAAAAAGAGAGAGAGAAACACCCCCCCCCCGCCTGAACACGGACATCGCTGATGATTGATACCCGAGGATCGGGATAATAAGACGATTTTTCTGCCCGTAGCCCGACCTCATACGTCGCTCAGCTTTATCCCTGCAGCCAGCATCACCCAACAGGCCCTGAGCTTCAATTTTTCCCCCTCCGCTCACCTCGCTGCTGGATGGCTGGCGCAGGGCGTTCATTGTGCCGGCTTAGATCACGTTGCTTGGAGGAAAGTATATAAAAAAAAAGCAACTCAGAAAAAAAAAGACGGTTTCTTTAATTTGCCTCCACAGCGGAAAAGGTCTCCAGCGATGTCAACAAATTTAATCGTTCCTCATAAGGGACTTCATCAAAATGCGGGACAGTTTGGTCCTCGGGCTCCGAACGCCGAGTTGCCCAACTCAGGAGAGAAATAGGAGGTCTCCGTGTGGCTATTATGCAGAATGATGTGCGCAATCTGTCAGTTAACGGCGCGGCCGCGCCCGAGTTCACAGTTGCGGACCACAATGAATGGGGTAACCGATTCTTTTTTTGTCACTGCGTTGCTCTGTGAATTTCTGCGGCGTTTTTTCTCCTCTGTTGTTCATGCGTAGGGTTTAAAGACTACCATCAGACTGTCCAAACGGAAGATTGGAGACTGCATAGCCAGATGAGAAACTGATTTTATCAAGTTTTAGGTTCAATGAATAAAGAATTAAATTATTTTAAGACAATCTGCTCACTAGTACAACAATGATCTGTTTTTCCCTACAGAAAGAATTTCCTTGTACTAGAGCTATTCAAATATTCTTTGCACTGACGATATCGATTTTTTTTCCACGAAAGTACGAATACCTGTACTTTAAATTAAGTTCAAGGATGATTTCAATGTTCTGTTACTGTGTTAGTGTTTGTCCACCTCAATTTCACTGTTTTGCCAAACAGCCAAGATTCCGTATATTAAAACGCACGCTTTCGATAGATGCCCGGACAAACTACTTTCATTTCACTGTAACAATGCCAAACAAACAAGCGCAGGTCCCTGGATGGTGAACATCCACCCCACATTGAATTGATCCAAGGCCGCGGCATTACAGGGTACCAGTATATGGGTACTGCATGACACACTTGTAAGAAAGCATAGCGCTGCACGACAGGCAATGGAAGTTTTTTCCCTCTGAGCAGATGTCCCCCCCCAGGGTTGTAAATTATACTTTTTGTAATTCGTCATATTGTGTTGACTGTTCTTTCCAATGAGAGGATACTTCACGCGGCCACGTGCAGAGATCTCCCTTAGCGCTCTTTAACGTCCACTCTGATTGGCTGTAACTCGTCGAATTCAAGAATCGGGTGAAGAATATTCCGGTTGATGCGGATACTAATGTTACCTTCCACGGAGAAAGGGTAATTGCACAGAATTCTTATGAAAATCCCCCCCCTCTTCCAAATGGCTAGTTATTTTGTTTCAGGTGTAGCCGGCTCCAAATTCACAAGTTTGGCTCGTATTATGCACACATTACGCTCGTTTAATACTCAGGTTGATGGTATGTTTTAATCGAAAGCTGCAAGCGGTCGAAAAACGTTCCAAATGTGGTGAGCAAAATCTTTCCATTTCAGCCACGAGCGGTTGTGGTATGCAGCGGGGAAAGACCCTGGACTGACAAGAAAGTATTCTCGGCTTGAAAAGCCCGTGCACCTTTGTCTGTTTGAAACGAATGCAACTTGAGAAGAGTCTACGGTAATTATTTTTCTTTTTACGTCAGAGTTCCGGTAATAGACCACATCCTGTTGTAGCAATAGCAATAAAATAAGACAACTGGCTGAGATCTAAGAAAAAATCCATGAGGATATTGAAAAAGCAAGCCATCTTGCAAACTAAGGTGGTGATAGAAAGAATCCCTGCCTACTTCTTACCTCGAGTCAACTGGCTGGAACTTATTCCGGAAGCCAAACCGTTAGGTTCGAGTTGGACTGCAGTCGGGTGAAGCTGGAAGCCGGAAGGGAGGGTGTGCCTTGGAACGGCTCATCGGGCGTTGATCCCCTGTGGTGGTACCGGCCAGCCAACCGAGTGAAGTCCGAGCTGTAGTCTTATTGAAGCCTGTGCAAAATCCAGAGAGTCCTCGTCGGAACCTTATAATCCCCCGATTTGGTACGTTGAGGCGAAGCTAGGGGAAGGCCCCCCGGACGCCTTGCCACCTCGCCTCAGTGGCAACCCCAGCGATTCTACGGCCAAGCCGCCCGCACTCAACTGTTTAAAAGCCCCCACCACGAATCAGTGGCGGGCGACCTCCCCTCATGTTTTGCTGTATTATGCTAGAGCAACAAACCTCTATACCCCTGTTATCTCAAGGAACCATGTATCGGTTTTGTTGTCGGAGGCGGACGGCCAAGCCCTGCCACACGTGATGGTCGGGTGCAATTTCTGAGTCGGCCTTCCCTTCAAATTGAATTAAGCAAGCAAGAAGAAAACACAACATCGTTCCTCCAGTCTCCCCAATCTATCACCAGACCACGACGCGATCGAGACAACGCCGCAAATCTTTTTGGTTCGTCTCACACGCGGTTGATTTCTCGAGGTAGGAGAAAGTCCCGGTTCCCCAACTCCTCGGCAAAATGATTCGAATGAAGGACCGGGCTACGCTAAATATGCCAGCCGATCCATCTGGAAAAGAAAAGAATGACATTCTAACAAAAACAAACCCGTGTACCGCACGGACGCGAGCTATACCCCCATCGCCACGCGCGTGCACCATCAGCCAAAAAATCCTATTTTATGCCGGTGTTTTCGTTGTATGGTTTAGGAAAATAGCGCGGCTGTTATTCTTAGGCGGCCGGGTTGTTTTCATTTTCTGGCCCGCTCGCTCGCTGCCGAAGATTTCATTCCCAGATGTACTGTCTTTTTAACCCCTTTGTGCTACAAACAGTCGCAAATTATGATGATGGAATGGGGGTTAAATCAGCTATGCTAATTTTTGGAAAATAATTCGTATGTTAATGCTCCCAGCCAGACCGGATATCCGAGTGCACGTCGATAGGTGCGCGCCAAGTTTGTGTGGCAGAGGAAAACCTATGATTTGAGCTGCGTGTTTGGCTGTCAACGCTCTGTTCCTTCACATTACTCGCTCAAAAAAAAACTACGGATGGTTTTATCCTCTATAGATTGTGTTTGGTTGAATTCTTACTAGTTTATTTTTTGACCTGTTGTCACGGATTGGCGAGCCACTCAACACAGGTATTTCTGTGAAGCTCTCTGGCATTCAGGATCTTGGGGTATCGTGAACGCGACAGCAGCAGACGAGAATGTAAACCGCTTGCGCGCCATAAATCATCACCACCGTGTGATGTTTGACACACCTGACTCCGCCGGGCGTGTTGCGCTGCGCCCCGCGGTCCGCCTGTCCCCCCTCGCATTGTTTACCACATCCGCCGGTTTGTTTGTAAACAACATCTTGTTTGTAACGTTGCCATTTCTGACAGGCCTCTGCTGCCGTGCCCTTCCCCCTTCTATCTTGTGTCGCTGCGGTGTGACACTGGCCGGGATAGAATGATAGGAGGACACAAAGGGGCCCGGAGCACGCCGTGCCCTGACCGCATCTGCACGGCGGGATTTTTTTGGGTTTTTTTTGCACTAGGGCTCTCAATAAAGTTTATTAACATCACGGATGTATTTATGCCTCGATGTCTGTCACGTAGGCCTGCGACACGCAGTGCTCTCAAAAGATATTCTGTCACCGAAATTGGATTAACCTGCCCCCGTCCCGCGGATAAATTCAAGACCTGACGCCCTCTCACGAAGGAACATGAGAGGGCGTGGGTCAACCAAAGCCTATCATTCGGAGGTCCCCGAGGAAGGGGAAAGGGAAGACCCTCAGCCCAGCCTCCACCAAAGTGGTAACTTCCTTATGATTTTTTTTAATTAAAGCTCTTTGAAGATCTGGGTTCGATGTTAAAAGCCTGCTTGTGAACGTAGGCCTACATGCAGATGTATCATTTTGAATTCCCACTTATTCCAATTTTATTTATTTGTATTAATGCCAACTAAAATTTACGTTGGGGTATGTTCTATCTCCTGGATCGCCGTCTGTATATTTGATATTTGAATGTTTCTTAACTCTGAAAGCTATCTCTCAGATCGAGAGTCATGATATTTTGTCATTTGGAATCACTTTCACTATTGAATCAACCACCAAAAGTCAATTGGTGTCACCAAGTATAGGTTTCGTTTTCAGACAGGTTTTTATGACACAGATTCAAATTCGAAGCAACGGCATCCAACGCCATTGATTCTTTTTAAACCAAAGAATGATTTCAACTATGGATATCGACTGTCGGTAATGTTAGCTCCATGTTTGGCGTAGTGAGTGCTAAATCAAGACTGAAGCCCGCCCTGGTTTCCAGCCAGTGACGAGCAGCAGTGATGGCCGTGCCCATGTTGTTTCCAAGCAGCCATTGTAGAGTCGACTCACGGTCACCTCTTTCCCAATCTTCACTGAGCACATGGAGCGGAGTACGCTCTTGTACATACTGTACATGTACATGTACATCGAGAAAGACGGCCAGCGTACAATCGAACCTAACTACAGGGCACGAGGTTGAGCTGCGGTGCTCAACATGGCGACCACCACTAAACGGTGCCAACAGTGGTCGATTTTTTTGTGTGTGTGCAGAATGGGGCCATGTCCTCCCCACAACTGCAGGCGGGCGGGCATGGTCTCCCCATGCGCGAGAGGTCATTTTACTTCCATGTCGAGTTCAGTCACCTTGGACTGGTGAGCATCGTCGAACCGTCTCCCGAATGATAGGCCGAAAATAGATTCACTATTATTGGCATTTAGCCGTAGAAGGGAACTTCATAATAGTGTTGCAGAGGATAATGTCGGTCGAGTTCACTGGCCGGCTCACAATGAAAGATGCTAGTAAGATGAGAACTGAGGTTGCTCGGACATTTATTGTTGGGGCTGTAGTGTAGGGAACAACAGGGCAGCAGGCAGTTTGGTTATACCCTGTTATGTTTGCGCGACAGGGTAGGGTTGGGATGTGCCGGACAGTCCGGAGTAAAAGAGAAAGAGCAGTTTAATGGTGATGCCAAGTAAGAGGCACACAGAGGCAACACAACAACAACCGAGCGAGGTGTTGTCCCTGACTCGCAACGTTCTTGTCTAGCGGTGGGGGAACAAAAACGGGTAGGAACCCGATAGTGTGATCGGATTGGCCGGAGGAGCGTTTACTCCCCGGGCGATTCACCACAAACAGGTTTTGTAAAAGAACATTCCCCGGAGAGAAAGCAAGGGGGAAAACAGTCAATGTAAACGATCATATTAGGAACTTTCTCTCCCCCGTGAATCATTTATGAAAGGGCCCTGATTTGGCATTTTTCTTATACTGAAAAGAAAGAAAATGGTCATTGTTATTTGTATTGGAAGAAAAGTGAAAGAAAAAAATGAAAGCCAACAAAATGTACAGTGCTCTTTTTATTGATCAGCTTCGTTTGTTGATCCTAGCACTGATACCGAGAGTGAACTTTATGGATATGGGCCAAACAACACCTGATCGTCATATGTTTTCCAGTTTCGTCTTTATGACTGTTAAAAACAAAGCGTTATACAACCGAGATTAAATTCTTTTTTTAAAATTCCACAATGCTGCAGTTACTCAATGCCATTTTTACCTCTGCCATTTCAGCATGACATAAAAACGAATCCTCTCAGTCAAATCTTCAAGTGCGCCGTTTTGAGGGGATCCTCCAGCAGTACGCATCTACCGCGGTTTTCCTCGGTTTGTGCTTGGATAAGACCCCCTTGAGAAAAGACCTGCTCTAATTCGGCCACTCGGCCACCTCCATTTAGCTCACTTGACCGGGTTAAAATCGCCATAATTAAACCATGGCCCTTCGATAATAGTCTTCATCCCAGCCGGCATCTCTCATGGCCCCCACAGAGGAAAAACAAAAGAAAAGAAAAATGAAAACGAGAATTTAGGAAAAAAATAATGGCGCCTTTCATGCGGACAGGTGTTAAGGAAAATATTATCCAGCTGGTAGGTTTTCATCTTTGGGGTTTCGACAATATTTTCACGAAGGGAAAATCAATTTAGGGAGGTATTTGAGCGAAGTGGTTGCAGCAACAGACAAAGTGCGATTTTTAATCAGAACTTAGTGTCATTTCTGTGAAGGCGTTTCGACGAGGAGGCAAAAAACCGCGTAGGGCGATTCAAGAATTAAGTTCATGACATTCTGACCCGGGTACCAATACCTTGAGAACGGGTTGGTCGTTCGTTTCTTGGGCCTCTTTCAATGTCGGTGTCTTGTCCGCAGTGTTGGACTCGTTCGCGTTCGCGTCTGGTACCCTTGAAACAACGCTACCAAGCTCCGTGTTTTGTGTTGACGGGCACCTGACTGGGGACTTGAACACATCAAACTTCCCTTATCCAAACCAGAGCCACAGTGGCGTAGGGGGGAGGGGTTGAAGGGGACAACTTCCCCCAGAGATATGTTGGCCTTTTTTATTTTAGGAATTGAATGCACCAAACTTTCAAAAACGGTGCATGCTATCACCTTTTTTGATGAAAAAATGGACCTCCTTTTGAGAAAAAAATCTCCTTTTGCTCCCCCGGGACTAAAAACGCAGGTACGCCACTGTTACACAGTACATACAGGCGTCAACAAGTTGTGAACTTAGCTCACTCCTTTCACTTCGAGTTAAATCGGGCTGGTACCTTGAAATTTGCTTAAATTCGCAGGAGAGGTATAACTTGTTTTCAAGTAAGAAGTATAAATGACGCTAAGTACAATATTTAAAGATGTTTTTCAAACAACGGGAAGGCAACAATTGCTTGAGAAATACTTCCAGTGTCTCCAGTAAAATAATCATTTGTATAGCCACTATTTCGAAATGACGAATGGGTTTGAGCATTAATTGGCGTCTAATCTTTAATACTGAGGGAAGGAGGCAACGTTTTTCTTGCGAAACGTCTTGTTGAAGTTTGTTCATGTACAGCACCGCGTAGGCCTACTTCATTCATCAGCCAGTTCTCTGAAAAAGAATTCTTTTGTATATTGCCTGTCTGTCGTACTATTCTGTGTCTGCCAATACTAATGGTAACAAAGTGATCTTTAACATGTAAGGTTTACATAAAAGTACTCAATTTGAAAGATCCAGCATAGAGAAATAAAAGTCGGAATGTGCTTCAAATCGTTAACCTCCACAGGTATTGACAGGGAAAAGTTTTTTTCCGCGAAAGAGCATGAACACTGCCGCACTCGGTGACTGGTACGGCGCACGACACCTTCAAGAAATACCCCGGTGGTCGGGTGATGAGACGAGGACTATTTGGGTGCAGCAAACGGAGCATGAAGGCCGTTCTCTCCTCCCGAAGGTGACCGAGGACCAATTACCATTTATGCCCACCCTGACAACCAGCACTTTGTGGGAGGGGACTTGCTCTCGCCTGAGACGTCCGTTTACAAGTGATTTTGTTTCGACTTAATAGCTGCGGTTTCACAGCTTTTTGATGGTTGACCTCCTCTTAGTAAAAAAAAGTAATATTCCACCCTCGGCCACATTTTTGGGGTCTTGAAAGTACCCTTAATCGAAGGTGGCATTCACTAAGCCCCTCTGCCCCCCCCCGTCCGGCCCTGGAGCGCGGCTCTCAGCTGCCGGCATGCGAGTTTTCATTGACTCTTACTTCCTCTGATGGCATTTGTCATCTTTGGAATTGAGGTTGTCAAAACGGGCCTGAGCGGAGTTCAGAACTATATTCCGGCT